GCCGTCTTCAGGTGAAGAACAGGTCTGTCAAGGATTCTGTCTCTTGACAGACCTGTTCTTCAAGGATTCTGTCTCTTGACAGACCTGTTCTTCTGAAGACGGCTACTTGCGTTGTGGCCGAAACGTCGTGAGAATTATTTTATTATGTTTTATTTTTATTTTTTAATTAATTTCTTTCTACGTGACTTTGCCGAAAGAACCAAGAAGATGGACCTTGCAACACTTCACGAGGTCTCGGAGTGCACCTGGCACGGGTGGGGGGAGGGGGGTTTGCTTCGGTTGCCCCGAGGTTCCGATGCCGCGTGCGGCTCTTCAAGGACTGATTCGTGATGCCCCCATCTTCGTGCTCTTGAAATAATGAGGGGGTTGTATTTTGTTCCCAATTCGAAATAGAACGTAGCTCCTCTTGTTGTTCATATTCCTTGGGTCGGTCGGCGAAGTCACGTGGATAGGTTCAAAGAAAATAACAAAAAATAATCAAAAATAACCAAAAAAAACTACTGCGTTTCGATCGCAACACAAGCGGTCGTCATGCGCTTGTGTTGCGATCGAAACGTCGAAGTCTATTTTTATTTTTTGTTATTTCTTTGAACCTATCCACGTGACTTTACCGAAAGATCCAAAGAATATGAATTCCTGCAGTCACGAAAGCGTTAAGTCAAGATACAGCACGACCCCGTGACCTAGCACCACCACGTGACCTTGCACGACCACGTGACCTTGCACCACCACGTGACCTAGCACGACCCCTGACCTTGCACGACCCCGTGACCTAGCACGACCCTGTGACCTTGCACGACCCCGTGACCTAGCACGACCCTGTGACCTCGCACGACCCCGTGACCTTGCACCACCACGTGACCTAGCACGACCCCGTGACCTTGCACCACCACGTGACCTAGCACGACCCCGTGACCTTGCACAACCCCGTGACTTTGCACAACCCCGTGACCTTGCACGACCCCTGTCCTAGCACGACCCCGTGACCTTGCACGACCCCGTGACCTAGCACGACCCCGTGATCTAGCACGACCCCGTGACCTAGCACGACCCCGTGACCTTGCACGACCCCTGACCTATTACGACCCCTGACCTTGCACGACCCCGTGACCTCGCACGACCCCTGACCTATCACGACCCCTGACCTTGCACGACCCCGTGACCTCGCACGACCCCTGACCTAGCATGGACACAAGCGCCGTGGTGACGTCGCTGCCACATAAGACGAACGGCGGTTGTGGTTGTTGTTGTGTCTGTGCATCTGTCTGCGTGCGTCTCTGCGTGTGCATAAAACAAATACAAAGCGGTGCTGGTGGTGCACTACTGACCTGCCCACCTGGGTTCGATTCCCCAGCCATGGCTGACAACAGTGGCGAGTGATTCCTGAACCTCTCCTGGAGACCCCCCCCCCGACCCCCCGCTCTGTGTCTCACCCACACCAACCCCGCAACTCGCCTCGATAACGCCCTCGCAGATGCCGGTGGGGTAAAGTGCGGGTAGGGCCCCACCGCTCTTCCGACACTCGTGCTCAACGTTGGAAGAGTAGGCCAAAACCACGGCTTCGGCGCTTGCGACGCGCTGCAGTTAAGAGGCGGCGGGGCTGCGCGTGTCTCGGTCATCGGATAGCTCCAACTGCGGCCCGCAGAGCGCGCGTTGATTGCACGCGTGTCCCGTATTGGCACGCACATACAGACACCAAATGAATAGCAAATACGACTAAGCCTGGCTTTTGTGGGCTAGTAGAGGGAGCATTTTGTTTATTCTGCGGATAACGAGCGCGGCCAAGGCCCTCTGAAAACAAATACAACTATATTATTATTAAAATTGTAAAATATAGATATGTTTTATATATATAACGATGGGACAGCTACGGTGAGATCAGCGTGGGGAAGGGCGATAAGATGGAATATTTACAGTTGGCAAACAGTTGGGAGGAGATAGCGGCTGAGGGATGGACGTCCCCGCGAGGGAGATGGAGCGACGGACTCGACTCTGGTGAGAATCGCCTCGTCGTAAGAGATGGAGGCTACGTGAAGAGGCCTTCATCCAGCAGTGGATTATCCATGGCTGCTGCTGTTGTTGTTTCTTACGACGATGATGATGATACATCCCGCACCTCCGATTAGCACGGCTGGCTACGTTCGGTGCGAAATAAGTTCTACGTACATACATGAACACATTATCAATCGCATGATTTCGCTTGTTGACCCAGGGAAGCCTCACTGAGTCTCGTGACTCGTTCTCAGGAGGGTCTTGCCGAGTTGTTTTTGCGGGAGAAGGGTGCTGATGTCGCTGCTGTTGCTGCTGAGGTGTAATCCCAATTGAGTAATTTTTAAGCTGTTGGTTTTTTATAGCATTGGAATATTATTGGGGCACTGCAGTGGCGAGATGGTAACTACCTCGCCTGGTATACAGGAGGTCGTGGGTTCGATCCCGGTCCTGACGACGCCTGCTGTATATTTGGAGTTTGCGTCTCTCTCTCATCATCATCATCATGAGGGTGGCTAGGAGATGTTAACTACCTCGCCTAGTATACAGGAGGTCGTGGGTTCGATCCTGACCCTGACGACGCCTGCTGTATATTTGGAGCTTGCGTCTCTCTCTCGTTATCATCATCAGGGTGGCTAGGAGATGTTAACTACCTCGCCTGGTATACAGGAGGTCGTGGGTTCGATCCTGACCCTGACGACGCCTGCTGTATATTTGGAGCTTGCGTCTCTCTCTCGTTATCATCATCAGGGTGGCTAGGAGATGTTAACTACCTCGCCTGGTATACAGAAGGTCGTGAGTTCGATCCCGATCCTGACGACGCCTGCTGTATATTTGGAGTTTGCGTCTCTCTCTCGTTATCATCATCAGAGTGGCTAGGAGATGTTAACTACCTCGCCTGGTATACAGGAGGTCGTGGGTTCGATCCCGACCCTGCTGTATATTAGGAGTTTTGCATGTTTTCTCTTTCCCTACCGTGGTCGCGTGGATTTTTCTCCGGGTCTACCGGTTTTTCCCTCCGCATATAGAATCAACATCTCGCGTTAAGTGTATTTGTCTCCTGCTAAACATTTCCACGTGACGACAAGCCACTTCGCTGAGCTGTCGTTTGTGGCCAGGTCGCTTCTGAAACAGAACTACGTAGCTCAGTGGGCCTCGCCTGGCAAAATAAAATAAATACACGTGGCCAATACTGGTCATATTCTTAGGTTTTTTTCGGTTAAGTCACGTAGGTAAAAAAAAAATTCATAAAAGTTAAATAAAAATAAAATAAAAATCACGACGTTTCGGAGGCAACACAAGCTTCCGTCTTCAGGTGGAACCGTCACAGCACGATTGCTGCATCAAGTGAGAGAAATTCCAAGAAAACAGTCCTTGTATATATACTGGTTGAGGGTGGGAGGAGCCAAGGCAGACACCTGGATATTATTGTTGTGAGGTTCGGTGCGGCTGAAGAATCAATACTGGTCACATTGTGTGTTTGTTTGTGTGTTTGTTTGTTTGTTTTTAGCAATGGGGAAAAAGCAGGGTACCCGGAGTAAACCCATGTAGAACAGTGGAGAACGTACACACACCCCACACTCACTCAATCAACAGAGACAAACACCCCCCCGTATAGCCTTAACAGACTGGTTAGGACAAGTGGTGTTAGCGAGTAGCACCTATGAAAGGCGGTACCTTCGAAGGCCGGAGAGGCTATACGGGGGATCTTTGTCTTTTGTTCACTATAAGCAACGTCGGGAGGAGATGTGCAGCGGGTAGGACCCCCAACGACCTGCGTTCGATTCCCGCTCACGGCTAAAATCAGCGTCGGCGAATAGCTGAGCCTGGGCCTCCCCTAGGTCAATGCAACGTCCATCTGCCAACTCAAAGCGAGTGATGGATTTTGGGCTCATCTCTGCCGGCGGTGGTGGACGGAATTCCACATTATCATGGCGGTGGGCAAGTCAGTCACGCCTCTGGTAGAGCACGTGGCAGCGCGACAGGCGGATTGACGAGAATATACCTACAGGGTAAATATATTGTGGTGAGATATTGTTGATGTTACATCGTGTTTTTATTGATATATTTACACGTTTACCTCCAGGTGAATCAGCGGTTGTGAGAGCGAGCGGGTCCCAATGAAATCTAAATGTGAAGCGTTGAAATCCTGATTGGTGGCGGTTGACTCAGCCCATCATCCCTTCTTCGGGGGGGAGGTAGGGTGGTCGATAAAGCGTCTACCAATCACGTGCGCAGCGACCCCGTCACACTTCACGTGGGGTCGGCAAACCTCTTTTGTGACGTTCAACACCGCCCCGCCCCCACCACCAGCCCCCGAATGACATCATTCGCGTCACGCACGTGACCCAGGAGACGCGTCACCAACCGTCAACCGCGTCGGCCTCCATTTTGCTCCGTGGCGGCCGTCGATTTGCGGGGCCCCCCAAAAGTCGTGGCCAGCACGCGTTAAGGGGCCGACCATAAATGACGTCACGCACCTAGGGGGTGGGGGGGTGGTCAGATATTTGTTACGATGTGTGACGAGGGGGGGGGGTGTTGTTGAGAAATGTGACGTCACATCAAAATGCACAACTTTAAATAAATATAGACAACACGTTCTACTTAATTAAATAGACGTTTAATAAATGTTTTCTCCTGCAACATCAGAGTGCAGCGCCACATTAAATACGCACTGCAATGTCAATAGTTTAGAGCGATTTGAAGCATTTTTTTTTGGGGGGGGGGAGCTTGTGACGTCATATTTGAGGGGGGGGGGGTCTGACTTTTTGTGACGCCGTCTGACGACCGGGGGGGGGGGTCAAAAATTGCCTAAAATCGCGTGACGTCATTTACGGACAGCCCCCCAACCACAGAAAACCTCGAATCCTCCAATGGTGGAACTTCTCTCTCTGTACGCAACCCCACACCACAACGCCGGTTTAACCGTGCCCGTGCTGTTGTCTGCCTCTTGTCCTTTGCCTTCTGTGACCCCCACCCCACCCCACCCACACAACGTGGCCGGCGCAAAGACGCAAATGGAGCGGCTAAGGAAGGTGGAGCGCATCTGCCGAATGCTGAAAAAGGTCTGCTGGTCATGCGTCACACACGCGCGCACGCACGCACTCCCACACGCGCGCTCGCCTCCGAGCCGCGTCGACCCCGTGACATCTCTCCCCCCCACCTACCTACCTGCCCCCCACCCCGCTAAGATGATGATATAATCTCCTGCGATCTCTGCGTTAGCAGGCGCACTGTCACCCTACACCGCACACCTCACACCGTGTCGTGTGAAGCAATGGGTTGAAGGTGACGTTTTATCAGCTGGTCGGTGTGGGGTGTGTTAGTGTGTGTGTTAGTGTGTTAGTGTGTGTGTTGGTGTGGTTTGTGTGTAGGTGGTGTGTGTGTGTGTGTATGTTAGTGTGTGTGTTAGTGTTGTGTGTGTGTTAGTGTGTGTTAGTGCGTGTGTTAGTTTTGTGTGTGTGTGTGTTAGTGTGTTTTAGTGCGTGTGTTAGTGTGTGTGTGTTAGTGTGCGTGTGTTAGTGTGTGTGTTAGTGGTGTGTGTGTGTTAGTGTGTGGTGTGTGTTAGTGTGGTGTGTGTGTTAGTGTGTGTTAGTGTGTGTGTGTGGAGAGAGTGGATAGTTTCCCATACCTGGGCAGTGTGCTTATGACCGGCTCCAGTTTAACAGCAGAGGTCTCACTCCGAATCAGTCGAGCGGCAATATATTTTCGTCGGTTGCGTAACGCTGTGTGGAAGCTACCTGGTCTGTCGCTCCGCACGAAGCTTCAGGTCTTCTCGGCCACAGTCATTCCCTCCCTTCTCTACGCTTGCGAAACGTGGACCCCCTAATGGAGCATCTTCGCCGGTTGGAAACATTTAGGCTGGCCTGCCTACGATCCATCCTGGGTTTAATCAGGCTGGATTGTGTGAGGAGCTCACAAATCCTTGAAAGATCTGGGCAAAGTCCCATCGGAGAGCTCCTCCGGCAGGCAAGGCTGCATTGGCTGGGTAATGTAGCCCGCATGCCCAGCCACCGCATGCCTAAACAGCTTTTGTTCGGCCGGATCGAGGGGGCTAAACCGGCGCGGCACGGGCTAGAGAAGAGATGGAGTGATGTGGTACAGGAGGACGTGGAGCTGAGTGGACTTGCCGATGACTGGTACCAGCGGTGTCAAAATCGGCCTCTGTGGAGGAGGCTCGTGAAGGACGCTACCGGGCAGTTGGAGGCAGTCGCCCTCCAACAACAACGGAGGGCGGAGGAGCGACGCTCACAACAACGAGCAGAGCACCGGGTGGCTAAAGCACAGCAAGTTGGTACAGTAGGGGGCACAGGTGGTGCATCAGCCAGTCGTCTCGGTCATCTCGGTCAGTCGACACGTGGCACCTGCTGGGTCTGCCCCGTGACCTCCTGCCAGCGGGCGTTCGACACTTCACGTGGCCTAAAGGTGCACATGGCCTGGCACAAGCGTCGTGGTGATGTCACCGCCACTTAGTGGCGAATGGCGGTTGTTGTTGTGTTAGTGTGGTGTGTGTATTAATGTGTGTGTTAGTGTGGTGTGTTAGTGTGGTGTGTGTTAGTGTGTGTGTTAGTGTGGTGTGTGTGTTAGTGTGTGTGTTAGTGTGGTGTGTTAGTGTGGTGTGTGTGTTAGTGTGTGTGTTAGTGCGGTGTGTGTGTTAGTGTAGTGTGTGTGTTAGTATGTGTGTGTATTAGTGTGGTGTGTTAGTGTGGCGTGTGTTAGTTTGTGTGTTAGTGTGGTGTGTGTGTTAGTGTGTGGGTTAGTGTTGTGTGTGTGTTAGTGTAGTGTGTGTGTTAGTATGTGTGTGTATTAGTGTGTGTCAGTGTGGTGTGTTTATTAGTGTGTGTGTTAGTGTGGTGTGTGTTAGTGTGGTGTGTGTATTAGTGTGTGTATTAGTGTGGTGTGTGTATTAGTGTGTGTGTTAGTGTGGTGTGTGTTAGTGTGGTGTGTGTGTTAATGTGGTGTGTTAGTGTGGTGTGTGTTAGTGTGGTGTGTGCTAGTGTGTGTGTGTTACTGTGGTGTGTGTTAGTGTGGTGTGAGCTAGTGTGTGTGTTACTGTGGTGTGTGTTAGTGTGGTGTGTGTTAGTGTGTGTGTGTTAGTGTGGTGTGTGTGTTAATGTGTGTGTTAGTGTTGTGTGTGTGTTAGTGTGGTGTATGTTAGTGTGTGTGTTAGTGTTGTGTGTGTGTTAGTGTGGTGTATGTTAGTGTTGTGTGTGTGTTAGTGTGGTGTATGTTAGTGTTGTGTGTGTGTTAGTGTGGTGTATGTTAGTGTTGTGTGTGTGTCACAGTGCTAGTGTTGTGTGTGTGTTAGTGTTGTGTGTGTGTTAGTGTGGTGTATGTTAGTGTGTGTGTTAGTGTTGTGTGTGTGTTAGTGTGGTGTATGTTAGTGTGTATGTTAGTGTTGTGTGTGTGTTAGTGTGGTGTATGTTAGTGTTGTGTGGTGTGTTAGTGTTGTGTGTGTGTTAGTGTTGTGTGTGTGTTAGTGTGGTGTATGTTAGTGTGTATGTTAGTGTTGTGTGTGTGTTAGTGTGGTGTATGTTAGTGTTGTGTGTGTGTCACAGTGCTAGTGTTGTGTGTGTGTTAGTGTTGTGTGTGTGTTAGTGTGGTGTATGTTAGTGTGTATGTTAGTGTTGTGTGTGTGTTAGTGTGGTGTATGTTAGTGTTGTGTGTGTGTCACAGTGCTAGTGTTGTGTGTGTGTTAGTGTTGTGTGTGTGTTAGTGTGGTGTATGTTAGTGTGTATGTTAGTATTGTGTGTGTGTTAGTGTGGTGTATGTTAGTGTTGTGTGTGTGTTAGTGTGTGTGTTAGTGTTGTGTGTGTGTTAGTGTGTGTGTTAGTGTGGTGTATGTTAGTGTGTGTGTTAGTGTTGTGTGTGTGTTAGTGTGGTGTATGTTAGTGTTGTGTGTGTGTTAGTGTGGTGTATGTTAGTGTTGTGTGTGTGTTAGTGTGTGTGTTAGTGTTGTGTGTGTGTTAGTGTGTGTGTTAGTGTGGTGTATGTTAGTGTGTGTGTTAGTGTTGTGTGTGTGTTAGTGTGGTGTATGTTAGTGTTGTGTGTGTGTTAGTGTGGTGTATGTTAGTGTTGTGTGTGTGTTAGTGTGGTGTATGTTAGTGTTGTGTGTGTGTTAGTGTCGTCTCTCTTTGCGTCCTGCGCCACGAACCCGGCAACTCCGAGTTGGATTCCTCCTCGTGAGATTGTTGACTACCTCGCACCTCCGATTAACACGGCTGGCTACGTACGGCACGAAAGAAGTTCAACAGAAATACATAAATAAAGGGAGTTGGTGGGTTCGATCCCGACATTGACGCCTGTATATTTGGAGTTTGCGTGTCTCTCTCCCCATGGTCGCGTGGGTGTTTCTCCTGCTCCTCCTGTTCTACCCTCCACATTTAGAATCAACATCACGCGTTTAGAGCATTTTGGCTACGATAATTTTACGCGTGATAAGCCACTTCGTTGAGCTATCATTTGTGGTGGCCAGGTCGCTTCTGAAAACAATATCTAGATAGCTCAGTGGGGCCTTACCTGATTAAAAAAATAGCACGGTGAGAAAAAACACGTGAATGCACTCATGGCTACTTGAATATCGAATAAGCGAGTGGCTGAACATCGGAAAGCGATCAAGCCCCCGATATTTGAGGCGACGTTACGACGCAGCTGTAATGGTGATGGAAACTGCTGCAAGACATCTAAAGGCCCCACTGAGTCTATAGTTTGGTATTTCCTGAGTCACTCCCCCCCCCCACACCCCCGTGATTAGCATTTAAATTGACCCCACATCAGAATTTGCTCCAACAGACTCGACAATCACCCAGCCCTGGAGCTCAGAATTGCAGACCGGTCGTCATTTCCCACTTACCCAACTGTGGCTTTGAGCCACAAGTGATTTGGTTTTATTTTGAGTCAAGGAGGGTGCAGAGGCAACGACTACAATTTCACATTCGGGGTTGGTCAAGCGTAGCAGATAACAGTCAGCAGCAGCAGCAACAGCCGTAGCAGAGTAGTTTTATCACTGCTGTGATGTCTTCTTCGTATTTGTGCATCGGAGCCATTGCGTCGTTACCCATTGTAGGTCTCTGTTCTGGTTGATCTACAGTCGCACGCTACTTCTGGAGAGTTTTTTTTATTTATTCCCCATTCGAGCATCAGGTATCCGCATCTGCTCTCGTGATTTTAACGGATTTGGTTTCGGGGTGGACCGCGAGCTTCGTGGAAGATCAAACCCCAGGGATTTTCTACGTTGGGTCTTTCACAAATATTTTATTCTTAGGTTTTTTTTGTAAAGTCACGTAGGTAAAAAATTTAAATTAAAAAAATGAAATAAAAATAGAATAAAAATCACGACGTTTCGAAGGCAACACAAGCTTCCGTCTTCAGGTAGAACCGTCACAGCAACGACTGCTGCATCAAGTAAGAGAAATTCCAAGAAAACAGTTTTTGTATATATACTGGTTGAGGGTGGGAGGAGCCATTGTGAGGTTCGGTGCGGCTGAAGCATGCTGCAAGGAATGAGCCTTTGTTGTGTAGACTGTTTGAAATGGGAGGTTCCAAATGTGATGGGCTGTAGGAGAAAGGTGTGATGTGTCTGTGATGGACTCGGGGGGATGGTGTGATCTCCATGTGATGGAGGGAGATGGTGTGATCTCCACGTGATGGAGGGGGATGGTGTGATCTCCATGTGATGGACTGGAGGGAGATGGTGTGATCTCCACGTGATGGTCTAGAGGGAGATGGTGTGATCTACATGTGATGGTCTGGAGGGAGATGGTGTGATCTCCACGTGATGGTCTGGAGGGAGATGGTGTGATCTCCATGTGATGGAGGGAGATGGTGTGATCTCCACGTGATGGTCTGGATGGAGATGGTGTGATCTACATGTGATGGAGGGAGATGGTGTGATCTCCACGTGATGGTCTGGAGGGAGATGGTGTGATCTCCATGTGATGGAGGGAGATGGTGTGATCTCCATGTGATGTAATGGAGGGAGATAGTGTGATCTCCACGTGATGGACTAGAGGGAGATGGTGTGATCTCCATGTGATGGAGGGAGATGGTGTGATCTCCATGTGAT